CGCAGGGAGGGAGCTCCTTGTGCAGGTCAAATGAATGCAATGGACCAGATCGACGTGCCCATTGTAGAAGAGTTAGGCCCCCGGCCCGACAGTCAAGCACCAGATCTGCGACACAAGGCTGTGTGCATCTGGGTCCCGTGGAGATCTCCTGGCAGACCCTCCTTAGAATACCCAATATACTGGATCCCACCTTTCTTGCTGGAGCCGCACTGCGTATTGCTGAAACGCAAACGACTCTCGTATCTTGTGCATCGTCATGTGGCCTGATGGTCGAGTCAGTAGCCTATACCAAGCCACCAGGCAAGCGCAAACATGACCCAGCATGGCATGGATGATCAGCGCTATCTGCACCACCGAAAGAGGCAAGTTTAGAGGGCGAACAGCCACCCAAGCATGCACAACTAAACGCTGCGATTGTCCGGGCGTTCACAAGAGCAAACACATCCGTTCGCCTCCGTCTGACATGTGCCGACACCAAGGGCCGCCTCTAAAAGGGGGATCCAGTGGTTCCAGTAAAGCGGTGACAAATCCGACAGCTTGGCGAGGCTAGACATGAGAAGGGCTTTTTTCACGAGTTTTGCCTGTCAAGCGTCGTCTCGCAATCTTTGCTCCCCTCCCGTTATGCGCCGAGGACTTGGCTCAGGGCACACCGAGACGTTGGCGTCATTTCGGGCGGCTCCCCCAACAGGCGGCTTGGACACTACGCAGAGCGGCGTGACACGGCGCACCCGTCGTTCCGACGGACACGACGGGATGGCCTGTCAGGCTGGGCGGCGGCGCGGCGTTTGAGGTTGGTAGTGAATGACGAGGAGGGGTTTGTCGCCGATGGTTGGGCGAGCAGGCGGCGGCATTGCATGGAGTCTGTTGGTGAAGGATGATCGAAGCCGAGCAAAGCCAGGGAGGGACAGAACGACATGTTAGGATTACACAGGGCGCACATATGTCTTGGCTCGCTTCGTCCAGGCAGCATTCCTTTTGTGTTGGCGTCGAAAAGTCATTCATCCGACAATGTCCAGGGGAGCAAGGGGTCGGTCTCGGCAGCGACGCATGCGATGGTTGTCGTTTGCAAGCATGACCAGTGTGTGTAACGGGCGTTTAGCTTGGAGAGTGGAAGGACTGATCAGATGAGGGCTGGGCTGGACCCGGATCGACTGTCTCGGCACTCGGGATGGTAGTTGCAATGCCGAAAGATGCTTCGATGGGACGCTGAGAGCACGAGCACAGACTTCGGTAGCCAGTGGCAGAGCGTGGTGGGAATCGTCGAACGGTCCATCGAAAATGGAGTCTTGCACCACGTCTTGAACGCAGAGTTGCTGATCTTTGGCACTGTAGATAGACGGATGGATGGATGATGGAATGGGATGGAGGCACGGACGGAGGAGGGCAGAGGCAAGAGAGGGCATGTGGAGGACGAAGTGTGGAGCGAGCCGTGAAATTGGGTTGCCCTGGTGCGCTGGGTTTGCCTTGGCGGCCCTGCTGGCGCCCCTCTTGGCGAGGCCAGGGCATGGTTTGTCCCACAGGGCGTCTTCCAGGGGACCACCGCCAAGAAGCAAGCCCTGTAGACTTTCCTCTCACAGCGCGCCTCTGATCACTGTGCCCGGGCCACTAGGCGGTCACTGAGGTGCGCCCAGAGGCAGCAGAGGAAGAACCCCTCCTGACGGGCGTGGGAAGGTCTCTGGAGGGCTGTGCTGCCTGGGCATCTTGGGGCTTCCTCGGCTGCGTCATCCAGATGCTGGCCAAGTCGACTGCCCAGCACTTTAGTTGAACCGCCCAAGACCTCAAGAACCAAACAACGCCGCTCGTGCTCGTCGTGGGCTTGTCGTCGGCGTTTCCTCTTCTTCCCCCTTTCTCGTCCTACTTATCGTCTCAATCGTCCCGGAGCATCCACGCGGGATAGATGGATTCAACATATCCTTCGACTCCCGCCCACCGCGTGCAGCAGAGCCTGGAGCACCACTACTCTGACAGACGCCCATGACGATACGATACCTGGATACTTATCCAAGATAGCGACTCACCAGACCTTTCTCATCGCAAAAGCCCGCCACCAGAGAACCGGGCGAATTGGGAGGCCATGTCACGCCACACCCACATCCCTCATACCTACGGCCCCGGCGGCACCCACGCCCATCCGTACCATCACCCGCCACCCGCCTTCCAGTATCATCCGCCGCAACACTACTACGTGCCACCGGAAGATCCGGCACAAAAGAAGAGGAGGAAATGCATTTACATGTTTTACGGACTGCGGCAGGCGGCCCTCATCGTGCCGCTAGTGCTCATCCTGCTCAACGTCAACATCTACGTTTCGCGCCGCGGGCGGTACTTGAACGGCTCGACAAGTCCCGCTGATCCCGTATACTATTCCATGTGGTTGACGGCTCCTTTGGTATGTCGTACTTCGAACGGCATTGGTGTCCCGACATGGAGTGCATCCAACAATTGTGCTGACATTTCCCGTGTAGTCGGGGGTCATCTTCCTATGGGCCATCATGGCACTGATCCAGATGTGCGGCAGCCGATCGCCGGACAGGCCGAGCGTGCCCTATTCGGTCCAATTCGGCGTTGAGCTGCTGTTTGCGCTGGGTGCGCTTGTCTGCTTCATCCTCATGGTGGTCAACATGGTAGACAAGCAGAACAGCGGCACGTATGAATACCCATATCTGCGCTACGAGATTCCGCTGGCCGGTCTGCTCGGCTTCCTCATGTGAGTCGAAGCAGTCCACGTCGCTCTTTTGGGCGTCACTAATTCGACCTCAGGATTATTCAGGTCGGGCTCGTAGCGCGTGCGTATTATGAGATCAGCATCGACAGGACACAAAGAGACGGGCAAAATCCTGCGCACCACGGGGCTATGACCCAGGTGTGAAATACACGTCTGATTGTTGCATCGGTAGCAAACAGGGAAGCGCAGGAGTACGCTCCCGGGATGTTGATGTATGACTATGTATGAATATGGGAGCTCGGTCACGGTGACACTGAGCAAGAACGGGCGGTTTGTTTCTTTTATTTTTGGGCAAGGGAAAGCGACATACAAGATACCCCCCTTGATGGATAGTAGCACCTCTCATGAACACAGTGTATGGGACGTCAATTGATGAACAAGGTCATCAAATTTGACTGGTCAAGGTATTGCAGCCTTCGATACTATCCCGAGTTGGTTCGGTACCTGAATTACCCATCGCCCGTGTTTCTGGAGAAGGTGGTGGGGTACGCCATGACCATCTCAACATTATCCGATGACGCGGGGTGCAAATATCCCAGCGCCCAGATGCACCAACAAAACAAAATGGTAGAAAACCTGGCTTCCAGGTAAAAACTTAGGGCCGTCCGCATGATCGACGAGACCGATGGCAGCAGGAGACCGGGGCAATATAATAGGGGGTTTGTTGCCTAAATGAGACCCTGGACCAGATCAGTCACAGAAGTAAAAGTAAGGGAGGCGAGTGACGCTTGATCAAATAGCGATCAAGCATCTTGCCAGGAGCAGGCAAGCAAGAGGAGGGAGGTCGCGACTGACGCGCGAGTACGAACCCGATGGATGCCCCACGTACCCAGGTCGCCCCTTCCCCTTTCATCCACGTCTCACCACATCGACGCTCCACGCGTGCTCGACCGCCAGAAGACACGCCCAGTCCTGGCCAGCCTGAGGCGAGTCTTTCCATGATGTAGCTCATCATTGCTCTCGTCTCCCATCCCGAACCATCGCGCGATGACTTCGTTTCCCGGGCCCTCCCAAGCTTTCTGACGTCTCCGTCCCTCTCATGACCGACGACTTGCGCTTACTGAGATTTTCTCACTCGTGGCGTGCGCGCCCACACAAGCAGTGAAGCCCATGTCGCATGGCTTGAACTCGTGGCATGTGAAGATGCTGAGACCTGGCAGGAACGCGCCGCATCCGAAAGGTCGTCCTCGACGAAGGCGTTGTTTTCGACGAGAGACGTGCCAGCGACAAGAGTCTCTGTGCCGACAAACGGATTCGTCGAGACAAGGGAAGAGAGCCCCTCGACGTATTCCTCGCCGGGCTACAAGACTTCGCCGGTGGCCAAGCAGGCTGCGGTCGCAGAGCCCGCGTCGGCCAAAAACGTGGCCGCCCGATCGACCAAAGAACCCAGGCCGGTCCAGGCGACCAAGCGCGTGCCACCGCCAGAGTTTTTTCGAACCATATATGCACATGACGAAACCTCTTCCGCGATTCTTCCAGACCCCGAGTGTCGATCCCCACGATGACACCGATCTCGACCAAAAGCTACAGTATCGTGGGCGCATCGGATTCTCGCATGTATTCCCATCACGCCAAGCATCCAGAGAGACTTCCAGGCTCCTTCACCAATGCTCAGGCTAGAGAATAGGAAGCATCTCTCGTCGAGAGCAGAACCTTGAACGCCGCGACTTTGCCGTCAACGTTGTTGAACGCACCATCCTGAGCATCGACATTAGAGTACAAGGAAATACCTCCTTGGCGAAATCCTCTCGACAAAATTGGTTTAATTCCAGAGTTTCAGCCAGGTTCAAAAAGCCATAACGGTTTTGCCAGTTTCAGATGGTCCCAGCTACGGCAGCTGGGATGCAGACCCGTCATCGGGCCCGGCATCAACGCCGCCTCTAAAGTGGCCACCGAGCTGCTGCTGCGAGCAATGTGAAGTTTCCTGGCTTTGTTTTCGCGATGACTACGTGACCCAGCATCTGCTACATGACAGCTGCAAACCCATAGGTTCGAAAAGCGGCTTTACTATGAAAGCACAAACGCTCATTGTCAGCTTCTCTGGCCTCATGCCTCGGGGAGAAAAACACAAGCTCAGCGGCGCGGGTGTCTTCCTCGGACCCTCGTCCGTTTGCAATCGTCACGAGATTTTGTCTGACTGATACACAAGCCCGCAGAGCGCCATGAAGCGGCGGCCATGGCTGTACAGGACGTTCGAGAAAGTATCCTGCCTCGCCGGGACGAATTCATAGAGAACCGGTTGATCCTCGTATCTGACACGCGCACTATCGTCGACATGCTGACTACAGATATCAAGAAATGGAGGTATGATAGCGAGGAGCAGGTCTACAACAATCGCAAGGGAGGCAGCATCCGTAACAGCTCGGGCATGTTTCAGCTGGCGCGAGAGATAGAACTCTTGAATGAGAAGGGTGTTGAGATTCAATGGCATCATACGAAGCAAGAGTCCAATCATGAGGCCGTCCAGCTCGCGCAAGATGCTGTCGACCGCGCGAGACTCTTGATGAGGCAGCCGGCACGTCGCCCTGCGGGCAGAACAAACCAGCGAGCTAGCAACTTGTCAGCTGGGCTGACTAGCAGCGGACCAGAAGACGGTACGTTTTAGAAGGTGACATACAAAAAGGAATATAAAAATTGAAAACCCACGGTCAGGACGTTTTCGCTGCCCAGCAGCGACTAGACGTGCTAGCTTAGCTCGATGTCAGTTCGGATGTGTCCCGCGCCACCCCCTTTGGCCTAGAACTCTCGGCATGATAGGGTCGTAAGGTTTCAGCCACAGGTCAATCACCATCTCCTGAGTCCTGCATTAATCTAATCAATCTGGTCTCTGCGTTCTACTACTAGCTCGGACCTGGCTTTCCACTCGTATCGCCAAGAAAAGAACCGGAATGCTTCACAAGCCGCCGGGAGACGGCTGCGGCGCATGAGGTGACGTGCGTAGCGGAGTTCTCAGCGATGCCAGCGGGCCCAGGCTCTGGGCTCATGATTCACGTTGTCTCCCTTGAACAGAACGCAATTACCGCAGGTCCCGCTCAAGGTATGATCCGAAATGTCCCCAAAAGCAGAGCTCACGTCTTCAATTGCCTTTCGGTCGGTCAACGTGTTTGACATCCGCCGAAGGTTCAGCGGCACGGCGCGCAACGGACACTAATCCCCATCTGCACCTCTCTCATCGCCCCATCCATCGCGCCCGCCCATCATGCCTCCCATCAAGCACCTGATCGCCCTGGCTACGCAATATGCGTACTGGTCGAAGGATGGCTACGAGCTGATCAACAACACCTGGGGCCAGGACGCTGCGACATCGGGCAACCAGACCACCTACTATGATGGCGTTCCGTCATGTGGCAAGGGCATCGCCTGGAGTTCCGACTGGGAGTGGCAGGGCGGCGAGAACAACGTCAAGAGCTTCGTCTACGGCGCGCGGCAGTTCGAGCGCCGCCTCGTGTCGGACATTCACACGCTGCCGACGGAGTCGCAGTGGCACTACGATCGGGAGGACATTCGGGCCAATGTCGCCTATGACATTTTCACCGATACGGATAAGGACCATGTCAACAGCAGCGGCGAGTATGAGCTGATGATCTGGTACGTCTCCCCTTCCCCCCCCTCTCCCTCCTGTGTTTCCCTGCAACGCACCGCGGCATCACGGAAGCGAGATGACTGAATTGCTGCGTGCAGGCTCGGACGGTTCGGTGGTGTCATGCCCCTGACCGAGGCCAAGCGGCCCATCGCCCACGTCAACATCGCCGGCTACGACTGGGAGGTCTACTTTGGCTACAACCACGGCGGCGCGATGAAAGTCTACAGTTTCCTACCGGCGCAGGGCAACATTTACGACTTCCGCGCCGACGTCAAGCTCTTCTTCAGCTACCTCACGAAGGAACATCAGTTTCCCGCCGACAAGCAGTACATGCTGGGTGAGTTTTTTCTACTGAAGACTGGCTGCGCTGGTCCTGTTGCGTGCCACGTGCTGAACATTTCTCTAGTCTATCAACTCGGCACCGAGGCCTTCACGGGCGGTCCTGCAAAGTTCGTCGTCCCCAAGTTCATCGCCGACGTCAGGTAACGAAGTGTGGGAGCGGAGCCGTGTAGTTTAGCCAGCCTGCGAGTTAATGGGCGAAGCGGAAGTCCTTGCGCTTGCTGCCGGAATCGGTCGTGGTCTCGAGGTACTGGAGACGTTCCTGAGAGAGAGAGGGAACAGACATCACGTTAGCCTTGAACAGGCGCTAGGTTTTCCTTTGTAGAGTAGAGATGTTTACTCACTTCTTTCGTCAGCGCGTCCCATTCGCGGTCTCGCGTTTTGTTGCGCCAGACATAATACGACTTGGCGAGGACGTAGATGACTATGTTGGCCGCGCAGATGGCTGTCAACTGTGTGTTTCCGCGTCGGTCTGTGGTTCGTTAGCTTCAGCTGCTCTGTCTGCAAGGTTGCATGAGCTTACAGTTGGGACGATCGTCCTGGCGGTAGATGTTGGCGTGGATGATGCCTCCTACTTGTACAAACATGCTAGAACCACGTTAGTCTGTGCTCTGATGCTTCAATGCAGAATTCAACTGCTGTTTTGGAGCATACTTGTACACGGCTGCCGAGACGGTCCTCGTTCGGACAGTGTTGGAATTGCGGCTACACCAACCGACTTGCATGGCGTGGGCTACGACCGATGTCAGCACAACGGGCCGTACAGCTCTGATAGCAGTCGCGCCACTCACCTGTGGGATAGGACAGCAACACCGTCAGGACGGCAAACCTTGCCCAAGGCGACGTGTCATCTTTCAACGTCCTGAGAGCGATCAGGCACGGAAGCAACCAGACCTGGGCAAGTATGCCGAAGAATGTACGTTCGTTGAAGATTTCCGAATAATACGTCAGGAGAAGCATCTGTTCGACTGTAATTAGTTCAGTCTCCGTTCACTGTGCAAGTCTAGACTTACGGTGATGGCACCCAGGACCTGCGTGGGGATGCTGAGCAAATTCGAGTCGAACGTGCCAAAGCCGAGCGTTCGAAGCGTCAGGGTGAGGTACGAGTCCGGCGGCCCGGCGGGAATCAAAAAGGTCAGACCGATGGCGTACATTGGCCATAGATCGTAGTCACACAAAGACTTCCAGAGGAGCTTGAAGTCGACAGCCTGTCGGTTGTGCATGTCGCCTTTTGAGGGGTCGTCGCGCAGGATACGATTCACCATGATGGTCTCCTCTCGCTCGGTAAACCACCCCTTCTTGTTCCACCATGATTTGGTCTGCGTCGGCGAGGCAGCCATCATGAACCAGGACCAGATGCCGATGGAGAGGGTGAAGAGGCCTTCGAGCAGGAAGAGCCATCTCCAACCCTCGTATCCGTGCAGGCCTCGTAGTCTGAGGAGGCCGAATGCCAGGATTGGGGCAACAATGTCAGTGACACGGAGACTGGTCCAGAAGAGAGCCAGGCGGAATGGGAGCTCGGTTCCTTTGAAGAAGTACGACTTTTTATTTCGATCAGCAGGCGTAATGTGAAGAAGAGTGAGCGGGACTTACAAGGTAGAGGATGACATCGGGAATAAAACCGCCCTGCAGAAGGCCCAGCAAAGCACGGCAGGTTAGAAAGCTCGACCGACCACTGAGCCAGAACTGAGAGGCGGCCACAATGCTCCACAGGCACATGATGGTCGGAATCTATGTCTGTTAGGTCGCTGTCTGCCACCATCCCGCGAGCACATACCCATCGATCAGGTCCCAACTTCTTGCTGATAAGCTGAGAAGGCAATTCAGCACAAAGAAAGGATAGTCTGAAGACAGTGTTGCCCAAGTTGAAATCTAGTCAGAGTCAGCACGTCCCAACATAACGAATTCAGGTATCGAGTAGCTATCTGGCATACCATTAGTATCAAGTCCTAGATCTTCGAGGAAGTTGTCTGTGTTGGCCTGGCTGAGGTTCCCTCTGTCGAGGTCAAGAGAGAAAAAGGCAACGCATGCCCAAAGTGTGATTTTCCAATCCAATTTGTTGATGAGAGGCTGCCGAACAGGGGGGAATCAGCACCAATCCTGAATAGTTCAATGCTAGCCTCATAGTCTTACAAGTTCTTCACCCCATGTCCATCGTGCTGAAGGATCAAAACGATGCAGGTTCTCGTACTTTGCGGTAGGCTGGAAGTATTTTGCTAGATCTGGATCGTCATAGACAGATGGTTGAGTAGCCAGTTGGTCAAGGTTTTTGTTGAGTTTGTTCCTTCGAAAGAGGGTAGTGATAGGTAGGACAGGGGGCTCTGTCTTCTCAAGTTCTTGCTGTTCAAGAATTCTCTGTCTCGTAGCAGCCAGGTCAGAGTCTGATCCTGAGCTGTTGAGCGAAGTGTCCGTCAAGTTGACGGACTTCTCTGGCCGACTCATCGCCGAGGCATGTTTCTCTTCGTAGCTTGCCATCGCTCAATACATGAACAGACACTAAAAAGTCGTTGAAGTCCTGGCTGTTTGAAGATGCTCCAGGGATCCCCACAGTGATAATGATCATCTTTTGTACTCCTCTCGGGCCTTCGCCGGAGGCAAGGTTCCTGCAACAATACTTAGTGGATGAACGATCTCGGAGGCAACTAACATGGCGAGATTCCTAGTCCCAATCTCACCATGTACAAAGGTCCTCGGCATCCATGATCTGAGGTTGATACAAGGTTAGTGACCAGGACTGGCCCCGCACCTAGCCTCGTGGGTTGGACGAACCGGGCCAGTCGAATCTCGAAGATGAAAACCATGGCAGCTCTTGCGCCATGTTGCCTCGTCCATGCGAAGGCTTTGGATGCATAAGCCCACTTTGTATTGGGGAAGACAGCGGGGAGTAAAATTCCCCTACCCCTCTTCTCTCCATGCTGGGCCGCCACGTGGGGGTTCTTGATATCATTGTGGCCAGGCCAGGCATCCTCAGGCATGTTGGTATATGCGTTGTTTTTATTGATACGGGCGTTACGGAACTCTCTGTACCAAATCTCGCGGCACCCTGTTTTTCCGTGGCAAAGGATCAGGCTGTTCAGTCCTTTCGCTAAGGAACACAATCAGTTCAAGCCGCAGAATAGAATGCCACATTTTCCGTCGAAGTCCACATTTAGTGGTCTTCGCCCAGCTCCTTGTTTCATTATTCGAGATTGATGTTTTCGAATCCAATGACAGCAAGCGTCAGATAAGAGCAGCACGCAATCTGTGGGACGGTGAGCTTACATGGAAGTCGGGCGTGAACGTCGGCTGTCGGTGTGCTGCATCTATTCGGGCCAAAATGTGCGTGTCCCACGCTCGGTCATTGTATTGAAGGTAAACTCCACAGTCAATGCCACATCAGCTAGATGAAGCCATGCGCGATTCGTCATTCATTCTGGTCTAAGAGATGCAGTCCAATGTCTGGGCGGATACAGGGATTGGTGGTATCTTGCACCATGAGGCATAGTCTTGATGGCGCAAGAATGCACCACAATGAGACAAGGGAAACCGACGATCGCTATCTACCTCGACGTTACCAACTTAACCGACGCAAGTAAACCGAGCCGCTGACGATCAAAGCTGACATCGGACTCTTCATCATGAGTCCAAAGAGAAAATATCGAATCGGCGCTCATCCCGTCGAAATATGCAGAGCCGCTTGCCATCGCCAGATAGTATTCCTCGGTCTGGAATCGAAGCCTTGATGAGGATGGTAGCCCAATCAGTCACGGGGCTCCAGATCTGATGTTCAGCTAACCGATGCCGCATAACCAATATAATTCTCTCCTTGGAGGACAATCTCTCTTGGTAGCAGACGCAAGTCTCCGTCTCATTGTCGACGACCATGTGCTCTGTTGTGATTGGACTAGTGCCAGCCTGCCATACCTGTCTGGCACCTTGCCTGGGTACAACCCTGAAAGCTGTCTGGCCTGTCTTGGCGTCCATGAATCGATACTGGTCGCTTCCCTGTTCATTGAATGCTACGAACCAGTGGCCCGGCCGCGGGAATGCAAATACGCTCCGGCTCAACATGGTGTCGGGAGTAAGAGCTGTCTTGAATGACTGATATGTAGGTGGTTCCATGTAGCGGACGCAAGCACCATTGCTTATCTGAAATACACGGATCGAAATCGGTTCTTTGAGCCATTTCTTGGACCTTTTACTTGCAGTGGTGCTGGAGTCGTCTTTCTCAGACATTGATTTTGACCAGACGATCAGGTGTTGGTCATCCGGGGTAAATGCCATCTGGAGCGCATGCACGGGGATGTCTGTCTCTACAAACAATTGTGCGTAAAGGTTTGAGTAGGTCCATTCTCCCGGTTTGAATATGGTAAAATGTAAAAGTTTCCTGGTCAGACGCAATGTTCGCGATGGCAATGGTGCCGTTGCTGTGGCTGATCGCTGGGTTCAAGGCGTCACCAGCGTGGAGCGACGCTCTTGTGCTCAGGACACCATCGCGAGAGCGGACAATTAAGACTTCTCCTTGAGTATCACTGTTTACTGGAATTCCGATGAGGCTGCAGTCGGGAGAGAATACTGGCGCGTCGGTGAAACGAACAGGTTGACTTCCTGAAATAGATGGAGTGTCGTCTCTGATAGTCCACATAGGTCTATTCTCTATTGGGTCAGATGTATCGTATGCCTCTATCAATGTTTTGCAGACGCTCAGAAGCCATGTCGACTGGGGGAAATAGATCTTTGGTTTGAAATTTGTACTTTCAGGAGGTCGGAGGATCGATTTGATAGGTAGCGCTTGCAGTGCCAAAGATTGCAAAGGCTTGTTATCATTCTGAGATCCGACATGCTGTTCAACGTCGTCATTGGAAGGTCTTGACTGAAGCGGTTCCTCTTCATTGTTGTGAGCCCTTTCGATTTGAGGGTCAGTTGTCAAAAGGCAGGATATTACTCCATCTTGTAGGAGTGACGTTTCATGCAGAACTCACAATGTTAAATCTTGAAGTGAGCCTTCTTGAGACACTTCTGAGAAGCTTGAGGGTATTCTGGAACGTGAAGGAGCATGCCCTTCAGCGACTCTAGAGGAAACGATGTCATGGAGTTGTTGACTTTTTGGTTCTGTACCCCAGAGACTTTTCCCTTCTTCCTTGGAGAACCCTTTGAGATTCGCGACCTGGGTGATGATCGAATGTTTTACGGTCAACAGGTTTGAACCATCGCTCCTGGATGGTAAATCGGTTTGCAAGTAGCGTGAAGAAGCACTGAATTTGCATATTAGTGGATTGTGCTTGGGGCTATCAGACTGAATGTGGGCGAAGACTGACAATGTGCAAATATCCAACGCAATTTCTAAAGACTTAAGTTCAGAGTGCGCTCGTTCACCCAACCTGATGACCTGAGCCGTGATTTCTGCATTCCAGATAGCACCGTCTCCATCAATCACTGAATCTTCAAGCAGGCTCCGCAGGTCAATCACTGTGGTGTGGCATCCCTGTATTGCTGAGTTGATTTCAGTAATCAAGGTGCTGGGCAAGAGCGTGCTTTGAGGTTGGGCAGCCGCCTCTTTGCTAATCGTTTCGGCCACTGTCGCAAGACTTGACAGCCATCTGACAGTTTCAAGAAGCGCCCTTTCTGCTTTTGGAATACTCTGACTGAGCCCAATTGCTGTCAACTTTGCCTTTTCAATCCCTGATAGGAGGTCCAAGCAGCCCCTCGCAATGGACTGATCGCTCACCATGACGAGAGATGAGGAATCTGATGATGGGGAGGCTAGAGATCATTGACTTGGTTGTTGGTGAAGCATATAACGGGTGTGGGCGTCAAGGTGTACTGGGCGAGCTGTCTTGTCTTTATCAGGGTTGAGGCCGAGTCAGCGTTACAAAATGTTGCTGCCTGTCATCTGATGTCATAGCTATTTTGAGATTTCTGCAGATCCACGGTCGATCAGCCAGGCAGCGACTTCAACACCCAAACACTTTACCTGGCATCGCAGAGGGCGAAATTCTCGGCCTTGAGCCATTGCTATTCATGGTTCGCCACACTTAGTAAAGGTGCAGCGTGGACTCAAATATTGGGTTGGAAATTTCGCTGCAAAGCTGACTCCACCACCGTAGAATCCATAGGAGACAACACGAATCTTCAACATATCTAGCGTGATGATTAAGCAATGACCTCTATTCAATTGATCAAAGTTCACTGGCTTGTTGGGACTTTTTGCGTGAACCTTTCTACCATGTACTTCCCCGCATCCTCGTGCCCCAAGGAATGGCCGCGATGATCCACCGGCGCTACACCGGTTCTTTGTTCAATGTTGATTTAGGTGCACACCATGAAAGCTGGTTGATCACTTGGTCGAGCGGGGACAGTCCTGATGTATGGCGGATAGACAAAAGCTAAGGTTTAGCGCATCATCACTGGGGTAGTGTTCCAAGTTCTCGACATGAAGAGGGTCTATCATTGGCTACATGTCATTTACTTGCTCGGCAGTGATTTGTTAGCTTGAGAATCGTCACAAGCCGGCTTCGCGAACATGACGACATGCACAATGTCCTCAGTGTCGATATGGCAGATAAAACGTTACTCTTGGTCCGTTTCCATATTCATCAACGTGCGCCAATGTGCAAACTTGACGTTTCCTTCAGAAGCTAGTACGTTCATATTGCCCAACCGCTGCGAACATGAAGTTTTCACTCCTTGTCACAGGGGCTATTCTGCTTTTTAGGGGCTATTGTACCAAAACCCCAGGGGTTCAACGGCGACAGTGAGTTGTCAAAGAACACACTGGCATGCGTTCGGCGTCAAAGCTGATGGATTGCTATAGTCATCGAAGCACTTGTAGATCGGCCGGCGTTTGCGATGAAGAGGCAGTTCGTCTTGAACTCAACGACCCCCCATACATGAATTATTTTTATTCGGACTGCAATTCGGCTTCCCAAGTCGTAGTGACAAGTCCCCTTCCGGACAGTAATCTGACTCTCATCGGACCACGACTTTTAGTGAGCTTCTGTCAAGTCGCTTCACCTCTTGTGGCATGAGAAGCTGACTCCTGAGTTAGATCGCTTGGCCTGCTGGGAATAGTGGCGTCGTATCGTTCTTTCAACCACTGGATGGCGCGAACGGAACACTTTCTATCAACCTGGTCAACTCCTCTACTTCCGGCGACAGCCTCGACCCTATTTACGAGGTTTCGGGTCATACAAAAGAACCTGTAGTTGGAGTGAGAGGGCACATCCAGTTCAATTCGTCGGCGTCACTGGTTGTAGCCATTCTTGGGAGTATTCGTACAATACGAGACTTCACCGAAGGGCCTAGCCTGTTATACCCCATCTTCCAGGACGCCATCAACATCACAGTGTCAGATGATTCTAGCGTCAAATTGTCGCGTTTGTGGCTGGACAACGTAACGACGACTACACTGGCATTTGCCCCTTCTGGATGTGATGCATCGGTAATGGTAAACAACAATACCATTGAGTTCTCAGCCGGGACCTACGTCTTCAATGCATCTTTTAATTATCCCCAACTTGAGCAACTTGGCCCAATGGAGACTTTGAATGAACTATCTCAAGATTTAGTTTCTGAGTCAACAGGCCAAGTGGAATCTCTCTCATTCTTGTCCTACAAGAACAAACTTCTCGCCGGTGGCTGGCGGTTTCTCACTTACTTCGGTCGCGACAGCATGATTTCCATGTTGCTGATGGAGAAGATTCTCAGCACAGGAGCCGGTGGAACATTCGAAGCCGGTATTGGTGCTGTTCTAGAGCGCATCAATCGGACAGATGGAAGCGCTGCACACGAAGAAGGCATCGGTGACTTTGCAACATGGTTTAACCTACAGAGAAACATCAGTTCGACAGCGCCGTCTTATGATTACCACATGATCGACACGGACTACTTCCTCCCTGTTCTTTTGAGGGACTACTTCATCAACAACTCCGATGGTCGGGAGCGCGTAGCCACCTTCATGTCTACCGAAGCTACAATCGACCCGGATAATGCTGGCCTCACATACCACGATCTAGCTTTGGTCAACGCCGAAAAGATTATGAATGCAACAGCTGCCTTTGCTGGCCCTGGTGGGCAGATACGGAAAAATCTAATTCATCTCAAAGAGGGTGAAATCACGGGCGAATGGCGCGACAGCACTTACGGCCTTGGCGGCGGTCGCATACCGTACAATGTTAACACTGCCATCGCACCGGCTGGCCTTCGGGCCATTGCTGCTCTTTCCGAAGCTTCATTTTTTCCAGAACACCCTGAGTGGGCTGAGAAGGCCGCAGCGGCAGCTCAGATCTGGGAAGATGAGACCCTGCGTTTCTTCGAGGTTATTATTGAGCAAGATGAAGCCCGCGCGTTGCTCAACGACTATGTCGACACGAACAAGTTTTCCTTTCCTTCACAGGCCGACGGAATAAACGCTTCAGTTACGTTCTATGGCCTGGCTCTCGAGGGCAATAACGACATAGACTTGGTGCGTGTCATGAATTCCGACGACGGCTTCAGGCACTTTCTCCTCAACACCACAAATCAGACACAACTCAGCGCCTACTTGTCTCAAACAGCTGACCACATTCTTCAACCGTTCCCTGCAGGACTGACCACCAACATTGGGCTCCTCGTTGCGAACCCTGCGTATGGTGGAAAGCCAGTCTACTCAGCAAACTTCACTACCTCAGCTTATCACGGAACAGTTGTCTGGTCATGGCAGCTGTCTATGATGGCAGCTGGTCTAGAACGGCAACTTGACAGGTGCAGAAGCAAGTCAGTGCCTGACTTTTGTGGAGACAAAACACTGCTTTTGAAGATTACGACAGCGTACAACAGACTCTGGGATGTGATCGAAGAAAACTCCAGGATATTGAGCTCCGAGGTGTGGAGTTGGCGCTATGCCGATGACACATTCAATGCTGTCGCATTGGGTGACTTGCCACCGCCCCCAGGCGTCAATCCAACAGAAAGCAATGTTGTACAGTACTGGAGCCTAACCTTCTTGACAGTGAAACGGAATGAATGCTTTCGATGAGTTTGCATAGACCACGATGAGATTGGATTCTCATTTACACTCTTGTCTCTTCGCGACTGGATATTATATCGCAATGCTTCTCACATTTCCTTGGCTTCAATCATCTTCAATTAACTGTCACTTATTACAAGACTGGCTCGTAGCGATTTCAACTTAAAGCTTTGCTCTGGGACTCCAGTTTCCGATAATCTCCTGCAGTCGCTGATGAGTCTCTTGTTCTTGCTGGCTCCGAATCTCTAACTCTGCTTTTCGAGCATCTTCTTCGAATCCCTTGATCTTGGTTGCCACCATGTCCGTCCATATAGCCAGAGATGCTTTGTCGAACGGTGGGAGTACCCTGCCTGTTGTGCCTGGGGTAGGGTCGCCTGCGATGTACCGCAGATACTCGAAAAAGCCCTCATAATCTGAAGCGATCGAGTAATAGTTCTTGCCTCCCTTTAGTTCAGCCACCCTTCTTTGTTCCCACTCAAGCTGGTCGGACCGTGAAGGGAGAGGCCGGGCGCGACCTGCAAGGAGTCTTGCCACGGCAACTGCTTGCCACTCATACACGCGAAACGTGAAACCGCCACCAAGCTGAAGAGGGCAGTCATTAGTTATGAACCTTGAGCTTGAGACAAGTAAACAACATTGCCTAACTGACCATCCCAACAAATGATAAGCTCGGGTCGCCAATACTAAATGTGTGTTGGAAGACCCCAGGCAGCCGGCGATTAGCCTGTTTTATTCTTGCCTGAATGTCCGGCAAGAATGGCAAGCTGAATGCGTATCCAGTGCCAAATATGACGTGGTCTACATCATTCAGATACGAACCATCTGCGAAGAACAGTGTTCCAGTTTCTGAATCGAAGCGCGTTATCTCGTTCTTGACAACAATGTGTGGGTGTGTGAAGGGCGCCCACCCAAAGGCTGGGACAGGATCACCCCTTAAAGCTGCAAAAACTGGTTTTTTTGCTTTAGGAAGAATCTCATGCAGGACTTCATGGGATGAAATAGACCCTCCGACGATGACCACTCGCTGGGACCGTCATTAGCTCTACTAGGTCTGGCCGTGTACAAGGTTGCGTACTTTTCCTGCAAAGCTTGCTGGACCCCTGAAATGCTTGCTGTGTAGAATTTTCCCAGGGAATTTCACATCAAAATCGACCAGTCCTGGAATGTCTGGAACCCAGGGGATGTTGTAGTGGCCACTTGCGACAATCAGAGCGTCGAATCTCTCTTCCCACCAGTAATCTTTTCCCGGCGTCTCTCTGCGAAGCGTCAGTACCCATTCTTGCTGTTCATTTTTGACTGCACGCTCAACAGTCGTATTAAGCTCCAGTAGTTTGTCGTTCCCATTGCGAACGAAGATTTCCTGAACCCACTCTCGCACTACCTCACGGTGTCTGAAAGGAGCCCTGGGTCCAAATTTGGCGAGGGTCCGCTCCGACAACTTGTCCGGGAAAGGCTCCCGAGTAAAGCTCATGATAGAGGGAATGATATTGCTGTGAAGGTGCTCATGAAGCGCCGAGTCTGAAAACCGTGTTTGATGATTGTTGACTCTCTCCGTCTTCGAGGTCTCTGCCGGAAGTTTTGTTGGTATGGGCACCGCATGGTCAACATTCCCCGTGATGAGATCTTGCAGTGATGGGATCTTCGCGGGCAGGTGAGGGGTGTAGACCCTGTGCACTTCGAGTGAGCATATCACAACGGTCGTACAACAGGTGCAACCAAAAACTCACCATGTCCCACCAATAGCCCCTCTTCTGTCGAAGACTCGAATGGTGTCGAAAGCTTGCTCTTTGACCAAGGCGTCGGTGGTGATGGCACCAGACGGGCCGGCCCCAATCACCGCCACCCTTCTTGTTGTGGTTGTCATAATTTCAAGTTCTAATTGTTTGCCTGGAGTACAAAGTCATCAATCCATGGGAACAGATGAAGCCACTTTTCAAAACAATTGTCACTGAGTTATTTATATCGTCCATGCTGACTCAAGAGTCAAGGGAGTTTGATGATGTGACGCTGTCATGATGGCGTCTTCCTGCAAGATAAGCACGCGAAACAGGAACACACCAACAGTCGACAGCACACCGACACCACGTCCGCCGACTTCTCTCATGGTCGCCGAGCCCCCGCGGCGCTTTGAGGCAAGAAAGTAGCAAGGGTTTACCCGATCCTCATCGGTGCCGACGACCGAGCCCCTCGCGAACCACACTTATCTGCCTCAAAGTTGCTATCGACGGATCCGACCAGGTCCGCAAGCTCAGCTTCACCCTGCCACGGCGGCCTCTTGTCGGCATCGTGACTCTTTGGTCCAATCACAACCCACGCTGACAGCGACTGCAAGGTGCTGTGACCCTTTGTGTCACTGCTGCTGTAGCTCCCGATGCGCTCCATCGCTTTGGCGTATCCTGTGGGGGGGCCATTCGTAATCTTCTTCCCCAAAGTTCCGGCCAGAACGTACGACTCAAATCTGTCTGTACCGTTGAAGTCCAGCATCACGAAAGGCGCGCTGGCGTACCCCACGGGCAATGTTCCAATGTCGAGAGACGGGTACTGCACGCCGTCAAGAACGAGGTCGCCCTCAGCGCTGTTCCTTGCGTAGGGTTCACCTCTGTCATTCCAATAGTAGAACCCTGTGATCCATCCAGACATGTAGAACGGCGGTGCGCCGCAGAAAAACTCGGATCTGGCAGACACGATGTCGTTCCAGAATTGCACCGTCTCCGAACTGTCTGGCTCGTCGAACGATTTAAGGAAGCGCTTGAGGATGGGCCGTAGGCGTTCAGCATATGCAGTAGGCTCGTCGCCGAATTCCGGGAGCCGTTCGAGTTTGTCGAGCAAAGTCTCCCAATCCGACTTTTCTCCCTGTAGTGTAACGGACGGGAGGCCGCAAACGATGCCGCCTTCGAACCTGAAATAGGCCTTTGTCAGCCCCATCATTAGTATGTTGGCTGTCATGAGATCGTCCTGGGTTGTGGTGGTGAAGTCCGGCATAATCCAATTCTGTAGCCAATCCGTCTTGACGCGGGCTTGAATCTCGTTTTGGAAGCGTATGAGGACTTGCTCCCAGGTGAAATCCTCGATCGTGATAGTCTCCTGCCCTTCATGATCAACAAACAAGTCCCTGATGTCCTCAGCGTGAGATATCATGTAGAAATTCATTTGGACCAATATGGTGAACCACACTTCCTCGGGGCGTACGACGAAATGCAGGTGCTCGCCCCACGCCTGGATTGCCCCGCGGACGAAGCTGTCAGCTGAAGGGCGTACTCCATCACCAATGGACAGGGAGGCGCTATCTTTGACGTTGTGATTGAAGGAGGAGAGGAGGACTTCAGCCGAGTTGTTGTAGAACTCGTTACTCATGCTCTGGCGGAAGAAATCGTCGGCGTTTTTTACAGCCCTATGGCCCATGTGTGACTTTGGGAGGCCCCCTGGAAGCACCACAACGTCGGCGACCGACTCAGGCAGCAAAAGAGCGAGGCAAGGCCCCCAAAAAGCGACGGAGAACCTCATGTCAAGAAACTTGGAGATGAGTGGATTTGATCAAACTGCCACAGCCGACGTGTGTGGCCAACTGGCCCTTTAAGAGCATCACGACATCATCTTGATGGTTCAGTTGTAATACGATGTGATTCAGAAGGGTGCGATGATTCCCAGGGTGAAGTGAGACCTGGGTGCGCCCACAACTGTTCTACCGTCCATGTAAGACACCTGTAGCGGATGAACTGGAAAGTTTCCGACCCTGCTAACATTCTTCGCCGATTGACTAAACGGGCGACTGGGTGATGATGCCCACGTCGTCAGCAGACTTGGGGAGGTTTGTGTGGTCTCCTGTCCAGTCTTTGCGCTGCCGAGCTGAGGTCAAACATGTATCTGGCCGTGGAATGCGAATGCTGGCAACCCGGCCGCGCATGGAAGCTCATGTAACGTAGCCTACCGAGTCCCTCATGGCAACTACCCTTCTGAAGCGGTTCAGGAAATGACATCACGTTTCCTCTATGTCTGATGTCGCCGCGCGAGGTGAACAGCGCAGCCAGTTGTGTGATACGTAAATGGACCAACATGTCAACGGGATGCGGTGCGCTTCCAGAAGGGTTATACGCGTATCAGAGGGCCCCTAGACCCTTGATGTTGTAGGTTTAGCGGCAAGCTCCAAGGATTTGAGGGGGCTGGGTAAGGAAGCGACATGTAGCCGCCCGAACATGTTCGCTGGGGTTAGCGACTGCCTTCACCTCAACCAATCCTTGCTGTTTTCTCCCGACTGCCAGCGGGATTGACCATGGGGATTACTGCCGATCTTGGCCTCCTGTGGCGAAGATGATACCATTATGCTGCGTAAGCCGTCAGCAGATGTGCGTCTCTCCGAAGCTCGACTTGCCTTCAGTGCATGGAAGCAATGGCCGCAATGAAAAGCGCCCAATCATAGTGACTCGCGAATAGCTGGGAGTGTTTTGGTTAGAGGTGACATCGTTGGTGCAAGGGTGAGGGAGGGCGTTTGCTCGCCATTACACAGAGCTGTTGGCGAGAGAGGTGTTGTACCACACCCAAGCCCTGAATAGGACGTCAGTGGTGTGTAGATCCCGTACTAAGGCCATTTGTGCTTGAAAGGAATCGTGCAGCCTAGGCAGCGCCTTTCGTGCCTGTTTGTTTGTCATGCCGATGACGAGTCCCATTGCCGGCCGCCCGGCCCGGATGGCGGCGCGTATGAAGTAGGAATTTGTTCTTTAACTGACCTGGGCCTTGAATGTTACACCCTTTTTGCAGTCTTCCTGTCCATCAACTACGCGCTTCATGGGATTCAGTTGCTCCCGCCACACCTTGACCCTTAAAGTTCTTTTCGAATCTACCAAGCACGACATGGTAACATCATGCCTCAACGACGACACCTTCGGCCCCATCGTTCGAGGCTGCCGTGATGACTTCGACTTTACTATTCGCTTCCAGCGCATCATCTTAGCCATAGTTCCTGCTACCTTCTTCCTGGCGCTGTCTATTCCGCGCACGATATGGCTCTCGCAACAGCCGAGGATTGTGTCTGGTGTCGCCTTCCAGTACGCCAAGTTGGTAAGTGCGATCACCTGCCCACCGTGGATATCGTGCTGACAGAGGGGGTGCATTAGACAGCCATTACAATATTGGCTACTCTGCAATTCGCGTTGCTGAATCTTCAGACAGCAGCCCCGGCCTCTAGCCTCGATGGCTTCGCCATTGCATCAACAGCAGTCAACTTCCTTGTTGCGCTGTCTATGCTTGCCCTGTCCTTCTTTGAGCATTCCAGAGTCCCGCGCCCATCGACACTGCTCATTCTGTACATTCTGCTGCAGACGCTCTGCGATGCCGTCCAGGTTCGAACTTCATGGCTCATGGCGAGCTCCATTACGTCCAAGATGATTGCTCGTCTCTACACAGCATCCGTCGGAACGAAGTTCGTCATCCTCATTGCCGAGACGAAGAGAAAGACCCGTTGGCTCCGTTGGAAGATTGATGAACACAGCCCCGAAGAGACGAGTGATGTGATGAGTCTGACTGTATACCTCTGGCTGAACAAGCTGTTTCGTTATGGCTACAGTCATGTTCTGGCCATCGACGACCTGTATCCATTGGACCAGGACATTGATTCGGATCTCCTCCAGCGAAAACTTGAAGCTGTGATCGAGAGGTCGCGGCCTGGAAAGAAGCTTGGCTTGGCTCGATCGCTCGCCAGAGCCTTGTTAATCCCATACATCATGCCCATCGCACCCCGAATCGCCTTGATCGGCTTCAGCTTTAGTCAACCGCTTTTCATACGCGCCCTCCTGGAATATCTGCAGGAACCAAATGCTCCTCGTAGCACGAGCTACGGCCTCATCGGTGCCGCGGTGTTGATCTATGGTGGCACGGCTTTCGCTCGAGCGCTACAATGGTACTTCCACATGAGGGCTCAGCAAATGGCCCGCGGTTGCTTGTCGGCCGCGATCTACAAAAAGACAACTGAGGCCAAGCTCGCCAACGCTGGGGAGGCGGCGGCTGTCACACTGATGAGTACTGATACGGACCGCGTTATCCAAGGCTTCCATCAGCTTCACGACTTTTGGGCCAGTCCTATTGAGGTTGCAATTGGATGCTGGTTCTTACAGCGGGAGCTTGGCACGTCATTCATCGCCCCGATTGTGCTCATTGTGTTTTGTGCGATCGGTACATTTATTGTCGGCAGGTTGTCAGGAGACCGACAGGTCAGATGGATGAGCCAGATTCAGAAAAGAGTCGGACTCACGGCTAACGTCATTTCGAATATGAAGAGCCTGAAGATCAGCGGCATCACACTGCCGGTTGGTGATTTTATCCAGAAGATGAGAGTGCACGAGATGGAGATTGGCAACAGATCCCGTTGGCTCATTATTTGGGCTGTTGTGGCTGCCATGACGCCGGCAATCCTGTCACCTGTTGCCGCTCTGGCCTTCACCACTCGCGAGCTCAACACGACGAGCATGTTTACATCTATCGCGTTCTTGATATTATTGACATCGCCTCTGTCTCAACTCTTCCAGGCTGTGCCGATGATGTTCGCCGGTCTGGCAAGCTTGAGTCGCATCCAAGCATTCCTCGAGGCTGATGCACGGGAAGATGTCAGACGCCACGAAACACACAACATACTCGGAGGGAAGTCGTTCTCGGATGAACCATCTAGCAGCGGTCTTGAATACAACGAAAAGCCATTAAGTCCCGACACTGCAACCTCGATTACCATCCAGGATGGATTCTTCGGCTGGGCTGAAGACCGGATGATCCTTAATCATGTCAACGTTCGCTTCCCTGTGTCTCAACTTACCCTGGTCGTTGGGCCGACAGCTGCTGGGAAGTCAACCTTGTGCAACGCACTTCTAGGCGAGGTGCCTTTCTCGCGCGGTAACATCAGGCTGCCCTTCGCTCACGCCGCCATTGGGTACTGTGAGCAGGCTCCGTTCTTGTGGAACGGCACGATCAAAGAGAACATCATGGGATATTCCAACTTCGACCAGCCTCGGTACGAAGAAGTCATAGAAGCCTGTATGCTTCTCCCAGACTTCACAATACTCCCTCAAGGTGACGAAACCAACATTGGAAGCAACGGCATAGCGCTGAGTGGTGGGCAGAAGCAACGTGTCTCACTTGCTCGTGCACTCTACCTCCATTCCGACCTCATCCTCTCTGACGATATTTTAAGCGGACTCGACAACGATACCGCCAATGAGGTTTTTCGTCGTGTGTTCGGTCCTACTGGTATTCTCCGCCGTCGAAACGCCACTGCGATTCTGTGCACGCACTCCATTCGTCATCTTCCTCAAGCAGATCACATCATAGCCCTCGACGTGGGCGGTGTTATTGTGGAGGAAGGTTCATTCAACGATCTCATCCGCAATAAGAAGTATGTCGCCAACCTTAATGTTGTGGCGTCCTCGGGTGAAGATGACACGCAAGAGAGGGGTGCTGCCGCCCCAACTCCCGCTACTCAGGGACCAAAACGTCAAGTTCAGAACGCCGAACGAAGTCGATCAGATGACCTTTCGCGACAAACAGGAGACATGAAGGTTTATGGCCACTACATGCGTTCGCTGAGCAAACGGTCCCTGGTGGTACTGGTCGCTTCGGCTGCCATTCACGCTTTCGCCAACAGTATGGCGACCGCATGGCTAAAATTTTGGTCCGAAGACACTTTCCACAGGCCTACCAGTTTTTATCTTGGTATCTTCGGTATGCTGAAAGCAACACACTCCATCATGTCTTTTATAGTCTGCGTGACTATCATTGTATGGATCACTACCCAGTCCGGCACGACTCTACACCACCAGGCGATCAACACAGTTGTTCATGCGCCATTGAGCTTCTTCACGACTACTGATATGGGCATAGTCACAAACTTGTTCTCCCAGGACATGACTCTCATCGATGGCGAGCTTCCGCTGGCATTGCTCAATACGGTCATCGATATCTTCCAGGTCATGGGCATGGCTGCTGTTGTGGGAACCGCATCACCGTATCTCGCAATCAGCTATCCCATATTTGCAGTTGTGCTATGGGTGATCCAAAGGTTCTACCTGCGCACATCGCGACAGCTTCGGCTGCTCGACCTAGAAGCAAAGAGTCCACTTTAGTAGGTCACCAATCCTGATTGTGAAAGGCGGATAACTGACGGATCTAGCACCCATTACCTTGACACAATCAAGGGAATCAGCACATTTCGAGCTTTCGGCTGGATGGCCGATCATGTGACGCATAATCAGCAGTTGCTGAATACTTCGCAACGACCATCATACCTTCTCGCCATGATACAGCGATGGCTCAGTCTCACTATGGAGATCCTTGTTGCCATTGTTGCTATTATTATCGTATCATTGGCCACACAGACAGGGGGCAATTCGGGGTTCACAGGTGCATCTCTGGTGACGTTGATGTCACTGAGTGATGTGATCACCTGGCTCATCCGCAATTACACTTTGCTGGAGACCTCAATTGGCGCAGTCTCGCGAATCAAGAGCTTTTCGGAAACAGTTGTGTCTGAAAAGCGCGAAAATGAAGACATCCAACCTCCCGTGGAGTGGCCTCAAGCTGGCACTATTGAACTCAGAGATGTCTCGGCATCCTACAATATCAGTGCCGGTGGTATTGAGCAGGACATTTCTTTGCACAACAATCTTGCCCTAAAGAACGTTACTTTGTCTATCGAGGCCGGCAGAAAGGTCGCCTTGTGTGGCAGAAGCGGCAGCGGAAAGTCGTCTCTTATTCTCGTGCTTCTTCGCCTACTCGACCCTTTGCCATCTCGTTCTCAAAACATGAAGGTCGACAACATTCCCTTCCACTCCATCGAACGGGATACTCTCCGCCGTCGGATCATCGCAGTGCCACAGGATGCCGTCTTTCTTCCCAGTGGTAGCAGCATCAAGGACAACCTTGACCCTTTCAACGCCGCAACTGATCTTGAATGCCAAGAGGTTCTCGAGACCGTATTGCTAAGTGCCTTCCTGGCGGAAATGAGAAACGACGTCCACAATGGGATGAGTATCGACAGCCTCAGTGCGGGTCAAAGACAGCTCTTCAGCCTCGGAAGGGCTATCTTAAGGCGACGGGTGAAGGACCGGAGCTTGGGAGGACGTCGTGGTGGCATACTTCTCTTAGATGAGGTGAGCTCGAATGTAGACCGAGAAACTGATCGCATCATGCAAGGGATCATCAGGGAAGAGTTCAAGGAGTATACCATCATCATGGTCTCGCATCGTCTGGACATGGTCATGGACTTTTTTGATGACGTGGTCGTTATTGATAAGGGGGAGGTTGTCGAGACGGGCAATCCGCGGGACCTAGTTACCCTCGAGGGCAGTCGGTTTGGGCAGCTATGGGCATTCGAAAGTCGAGGTCGGAACTGATCGGGACGACAATCCACAGGTTTTGAGATTGGTCATACGCGCAGGTGTATGCTCATCCTATACTGCTGTCATACATTGAAAATCGATTCTGAACCATTCATCAAGTTCTTTTTAACATGGAACACTATAAATTACGTTCTTCGAAGTCGTCTGTCGAGGTCCTCCTCGATCCCCATTATTCAAAATGTTGTTCAGTGGACCCCCTCTGCACCCTTCAGTACAACCAAGTTGCCGCCGCCGCAATCATCCTGGGGCAATTCTCGGAGCTTAATGTTGCTTGCGGGCTAGACCATCAGTTTTGACCTAAAAGAAATTGTCATAAGCTCTCGGGAAGCTGAGTCTATGGCTATTCCAAAAACACAGATGCTGGGTCCCATAGTGATCTCCCACTGAATCTATACTCAAATCTCCTAATCAAACGGACGAAACTTCTCTTGAAGCCTTGACCATGGCGATGAAAGATTTAGGGATGGCAACTTGTGTTAGCTCATCAATGAGAAGGCCTCTCCAAGACGGCCGCTCGAAAGAGGCCACCAGCCTTGATATCTTGAGGGCTTGCCTCATCTACTCAATTGATCATGTTCACCCATGTGCAGTTGAATCTGTGGCTTTTGAGCCATAAACCCCTCATCGATCTGAGGGCTTGATCAAGTGCGTCTTATTTGGAGCACAGTTCCTTGAGTTACTCGTCGCAGGGACCAGGTGTAGGAAGGAATGAGACAGCCAAGCTGGGTCATTTCACGTTCTTCTCACTATTGTAAGTGGGTACCATCCCTGTTCGCAGTCCATATTGCTAGGGGCAAGACGGGCGTCACAGCAGGAGGGATCCGATATTTCGGGGAGCATCGGGAGCATATTTCTTACTTTGCATATCTTCACTGACGAGACAATATATGCCATCTCAGCGTATATTAGCAATGAGACAAGTCAGCGTCTGCTAGATACGGCTGCCACATGGCAAGCTCGACCCTGGGAGAAAATCTGCAGCTGTGTTCACGCATCCTGACTGCCTGTCATCCTAGTCGTGGTCGCTCAAGTACCCACTGTTATAACGATTCATTACTCGTGTTGCTAGCGTCGCTTAAATGTGACCCGACTTCTTCCACTTTCAGCAAACCCCTGGCAAGCTTATTCGCCGTGATATCAGCAAAGACAGGGAAACCAAGTCTGCTCAAATAATTCTTGAGCGCTAATCAAGAGTTTCTTACATGCGGAGATGCCACCAAAACCTTGAAATGCTCCATTATCTATTATCGATCGACGCCATTTCCTGACTGATGTCCCGGCCGCTCAGCTTGGCAGTGTCCCGAATCAAAGAATGCATCGAATCCTGTCATGGTATACAGGCTCGGTATACAGGCTCGGTATGTTCCCCAGCCCCGGCCATCATTATGGATGAGAATTTTCTTTGAGGTCCCTTGTCAGGTGAAACCCAAGTCATGCACCAACATGGTCCGATACATGGGGAGCCCCAGTATGACAGCGACCCTGAGAGGGTCCGTTACTCAGGATCGGCGTGATTCTTACTCGAAGCAACCTTAGCATCTAATCAGATCCGACCCCAAATAACCGAAGGTCGGATCAGATAAGTCAGGTTACCGAAGTCGGGTGGAAGTACAGCGAGATTTAAAAGCCAGTAACTTCTGCTGTTTAATATGCCCTGCCTGCAGGTCCTCTCAACCTCTCTCTCTGATTGCCAAACAAACCCCTGACAGCCGTTGAGATACTAGTCACGATGGCAGAAACGCACACTCCGGCCACCAACGTTGCTGTTGCTGAAGATGGCGCAGTACACGAGACAACGAATGAACGGCCCAGAACCGCAGCTGAAGCTTTACGAAAGCTGTGGACTCCGAAGAAGCTGGGTATCGCAATTTCTGGGTAAGAAGATGCACTCTGTAGCATAAATCAACCTCCAGGCTCCTCATGCTTTCACAGTCTTCTCGTCATGAACTTCTTTATGAATTTTACGAGTTACACCCAGAACGTTTATGAGCCGTACGCAACAAGTCATTTCCAGGGCCACTCTCTGCTCACCACCGGTTCCATTATCAACGGCATCGTACGCATCGTGTCATATCCATTGTTGGCTAAACTCGCTGATGTAAGTTCTACATAAGATGGACGACACTACAAGATTGTTGCGAGAATCCTCCTAACTGGTGCACTAAGCATTTTGGACGACCACAAGGGTTTGCTGGAGCAGCTCTGTCTATGGCCATCGGCAACATGATGTTCGCGGCGTGCCAAAACGTTGACACATTCCTTGTAAGCACGGATAGCGCATTATGACGGAAATATTGGTTGACCATTGACAGGCTGGAGGAATCTTCGACTCATTTGGAGACACGTGGTGGAACATTACCCAGCAGATCTTCATTGCCGACGTTACCAGTCTTGTCAACCGCGGCATTCTATTTACGCTGCCCGAGTCCATCACCGCTATCCCGACGCTCTACGCTGGAACTTATCTGGGAGAGCACATCCTCCTAACGCGTCATGGCGCTGGGGTTATGGCATGTGGTCTATCGTGCTGCCAGTCACAGCTCTGCCCACGATCGCCATCATGATTTGGATGGGCCGCCGGCCAAACGCATGGTCTTCATCGGCGAGCGTGTCCTCTTTAATGCATGGCGCCCCATCCGGTCCTGTCGGCAAGGCCAAGCACTTAGCCACCGAACTCGACCTTATCGGTGCATTCTTGCTTATTGGTGGTCTCTCCATGACTCTGCTGCCCATCACTATTGCCGGCCGCCGCGACACTGACAAGTGGAAGGAGGCATCGTCCATTGTGCTCATCATCGTCGGTGTCCTGACCTTTGTCGCCTTTCTCGTTTGGGACTACAAGTACGCAACGAAGCCCATTATCCCCTACCGCACCATGCGCGCGCGCAACGTCATCATCGCCTGCGCGTCAGCCTGCTTCATTGCCATGTCTGACAGTGTCTACC